CCTATTATTTTGTGCTAAAGTAATTACATGTATCATCCGTTACTTGGTCAAGTTCCAGGTTTTTAAGCGTGTAACAGACACTTTCCAATTCAGAAGATCAACATATTCCAAGTATTTATTGATATTGTTAAAATAGTAACGAATTCATCTTAGGTTTATTTTCTGTACTTTTCAGCATAATGAAAATTAAGAAATCTTGAATCATATCTTGACAAAATTGAATTCCGAAATTCTAAGGCCAAACATCTTTTTTCTAGTTTGGGTATGTTTATTTCGACTTCGCTTACATGTATCCCTTATATCTCCTTTAAGATATAACAGTTTATATAACTATTTTGTCATGTATATAATAAGCGATGTCGATTTATACACAATTGACCCCTGTCGGTTTGAGAAAGGAATATTCCTACTGTACCCCACTGCACGTTATCGCGTGATGCGACTTAAATCGGTTTTCCATTCTGTGGGCAATACTAAGGGGCAATTTATTTGCTGCCGGCATTGTGGGGATGTTATCCCAAACAAAGAGTCACAGGGAAAGGAATGTCCATAGCTTATAATTCTATTATATCCTCTTCTACAGATTTCGTTTACCTTAATTAACTTTTGATAAACGACGCATGGAAGTACTTAACCTCGGTATATTGAAGGTGTTCAAAGAAATTATCGATTTACTTTTAGTGCGACGACTTGTATCAGTAACACGGCTGTCAGTGTATCTCCGGCCTTACAAGGTACGTTCTGTGTGTGCTAATGGCATCTGGGAGCTGACTATCTCTACCGGTGATGCGACAATGGCCGCTTAATAGTGTCCTCGACCTACACCCCATCCGGTCACGTGATTCTTAAAGTAAGCTTAAAGGGGCTGCCTATTAGAGACATTTTATGAAAGAGGCAATCATTTTATCACTGTTTGGTATGCAAATGCGGAAAGATACGAAAATCCTCAATTCTGCTGCGATTTCTACATAAGTCGCCTTATATGACCATGCAGTGGATTCGAGCAGACAAATTCTTTACTTTTATTTCTTAACAGGCAATGGACTTGCTTGTTAAGAATAGGATAAAACATGTACCACGCGGTGATTTAGCTAATTATTACGGTGATGTATCATGATATAGCTACATTATTTAGCCGACAATAAAATATACACATAAGTATATTTCATTTTTATTTTTAAGCATATCGTAGTGACAGATAATCTGGATTATCGGCTTATTGGCCTTCGGTGAAAAAATACGTTCCTGCTGTCTATAAAAGGAGGGATTTGTAGATGAATCACACTGGTGTTGTATAAAAAGATATAAAATACGTCCTTTAGTTGAACTGAAGGTTTGAGGATACATATTTTTGGTCATTTATGGACTGTTTAACGGTCTGCTGATACCCCGCTATCTACTAATAAAAGAGCACTACTTCCGAGTTGTCGACTGTGTCTCTACCATGGGCATACGATCATAGTTTCAATGTATGGAGAAAATACTGGTGTCGTGTAATTATTTAAACATTCCATTTGCTCTATATGACCTCGCTACGATAGCTGACAGTATATAAGTGGTACAAAGATTGTCCATGGCGGAGGAGAAATCGTCAGTGAGGAACAGGCAGGCAGTGAATGGTTCAATATTAACCGTCATTTTACAACGTGGAGGACGTTCCATAGTGGTGACTGATATTCAAAAAAAAAAGTATTTGCCTGTTTTGTTAATTTTAACAAGGCTTTTTGACTCGGTATGGAGAAAAGGTTTGCTCTATAAGTTAGCTAGGTATGGTCTCCCCCTTTGTTCAAGTTATATGTAAATGATCTTCCTGATCTTTTAAAAAATGATCCTTTAAAGCTTGTCGACTCGGAAATAGGTTGCCTTATGTTCGCAGATGATCTGGTAATATTGTCTGAAACAGCCGAGGGATTACAAAAATCATTAAATGACTTTTAAACAAATTGCAATAGACGGAAACTTTCAATAAATATCCAGAAACCTAAAGCAATGCTATTCAAATCAACAAACAATGTTATTAAAAACTACAAATTTAATATTGGTAACTATAATATAGACATAACTAAAGAATATACATATTTTGGTAACCTGATAAATACAGCAGGTAAATTTACACCGTCTGTAAAAGGAATTGTCCAACAAAGGTCTAAAAGTTCTTCAATAAAAGAAATATGCAGAAAATATCACAAACTTTCCAGTAGATGCCCAGTGTAAACTCGTTCAATCCTTTGTAAAACCTGTCCTGCCATATAATGCAGAAGTATGGTACATGGATTTATACCAAAATATGTTAAGCAGAAAAATCAGATCAGGTAATAGAAATAAGCAGTTTGATTAATTCTCCTTTACTGATAAATCTCCTTTTGAGCAAGTACATTTGAAATTCTGTAAACATGCGCTAGGGATGAGGAAAAGAGCAGTAAATCTAGGCTCCAGAGCAGAGCTGTGACATTATCCTATTGAAACCCTTATAAACACTCAAGCATGTGGCTATTTAAGTAGAATACTACAAGATTCAGACAATTTAAACCCTTTAATAAAGGAGGACTATCTATTAAATAAAACCTTAACATGAAAATGGCACATGCACCTGGTTTAGTTATGTTAATGGTATGACATTAGACAATGATTTACATCAAGGTATACAGGATCCGGACGCATTGTACAGTAATAAACAACTTAAAATTAAAACCAAGCAAAATATATAAAAGAAATATGTGATAAGATTCTTTAATAAACTAAAATAATTAAACGAGAGTTATACATTATTTATGTATAAAGACTTAAAGATGGAATATGTCCCTGAAAAATACCTTAACATTAATAGTAGCAATTTAAGGAAAATGTTTAAATGTGAAAATTGCTAAAATTCGGTTGTAATCGAATACGTTGAATATTGAAACGGGTAGATTTCATGGTTTAGAGAAAAAAGATAGAATTTGTATATATTGTAACACTGGCGATATTAAAGACGAAAATCCTTTTATTATTAGATGTAGTCATCATACTGATTTAAGAAACCGTTTCATTAAAAACAATTATCATAAAAAAATAGTATGGCAAAATTTCAGATTTGATGACAACAACAAAAATAAAGAACTTTCTAATTTAGCCAAATATCTGAACCAATGTCAAAAAAAGGAGATGCAATACTGCTTAAGATCAAAGGAATCACTCTCTACACTTTCTCTGTGATTTTATCGTGTATGTATGGTCGGAAGTTTGTATTCTCTGTACTCCTATACATATATATATACTGTATAATTTGCACTGTATATATGCACTGAACTGATAAACCGCAAGGTTTAAGGTAATAAAGAAAGAATGAACTTCATTTCGTTTATGTGAACACAAGCTGGAGCTAACCATGGGACGTCTCAAAAATATACAAAGAGACTAGAGTGGTGTGTTAGCAAATGAAGCACAACCCCTTTTCACTGTCCCCTTAATGAATCTGTCAGAAAAGAATATTTCCAAAAATGCATTCCTAATCACAATGATGTTACCTTAGATATTAATTATTTGACCTCAATATTAACTACAAACAACTCACAGTTTATACTGGACTCTTCCTTGAATGAATGAATTAAACAGTCTCTAGAACTGAGGAGAATGGGCTTGCTGACAGTATAAGGTATGGTCTTTGCAGCTGAAAATGTTAAAATAAAATTTTCTATTTGAAGCTATGTTAATTTTATTCATGCTAATGTATATTAGAAATATAAGCAATCACTTTGCGACTTTTCCACATGTACATGTCTATGTATATATATTTCACTGTGTTTTACTATTTTGCCTTCAAACTACTTTGTAGTTACAAATGTGCAAATACATTTTGAAATTGAATTTGAATTTTGATATCGTCTGTGGATTTGGTTACCAAGTGAAAACATTTGTATAAAGTGTATGGTAGCTCGTCTTTTAACTTTGTTGCCTGCGAAAAGACTTCCAGCAACAAACCGAGAAAACGAATACACTCAATGTCATATATAAGCCGCCATACACATAGTTTGAGCAATTCTACACGGAGTCTACTTTCTGACTATTTATACACAGTAGGTTATATATTGTAGCACTGTCTGCAATTGTTAATTCTGTCCATGTGAGTATCGACATTCAGGTCTACTAGGAATGGACGTATAAATCATCATTTTAACTGAATTGTAGGGTTTTATAGACCTAATATATATTGTACAAATATAATGTTTGGTGACACACAATGATAAAAATATATTAATATATATATATCGTAGCACTTTATTCATAGGAAAATATGTATTGTAACAAACAAAAACTTTAGGCACATGCCTTGGAGTTCTGTCCCCTGGCCGGGACATACCAAAGTCCCAAAAAATTGTAGTTGTTATTCCCTGCCCAACGTTCAGCATTTATGGCAATAACTGGTTCACCCGTTGTCAGTATAATGTGACCGGGAGTAATACTGGATGCCTTCGGCATGGCATTTCAGTGAGATAGCACTATAAAGATGGCATCAGATCCGCGCTCTCACAATGTGGCAAGAACTCCAAAATACCCTGTCTCCTGCATACACACACGCAAGCACGCATACACTACACACATGGAGGCACGTCCTTAAATGACCTTAGCTGTTAATAGGACGTTAAACAAAAGTAAACCAAACTACACCAAATCCAACACCTAGTTATCTTGTATAAGTTAGTTTAAGTGTAGATATAGAATACATGATAATCGATTATTATTAAAATTGTATGAGTTATTTTCCATTAAACAACCTTAATGAATGTCCACCCATTAAATGTATATACACGTGTACATAGTCCAGTAAATGTGGAGTTGACGACATCATACCCTGTTTTAGATCTTAAGCTGACGATGTAACGTCACCTGGTCGTCGGCTCATAAGGTATGAAAGATTATCTTTAATCTGTTTCATTCATGCAGTACTTATCAGTGCTGGGTTCTGGGTGAAAAGAGCACTGGTGAGTTTTAATCTATTTCGTACATTTATCAACGTTACTGTCACCATGTCTCACCGGGGTTATAATCAGCTTCTCACGTAGACAAGTCCACAGGGACCTGATAATTTGTTACAGCTATGTTTTTACCTAAACTAATGTTTTTAGGGTAATTTTATACGTTTTCGTGGTTTATATTAACTTTCGGTAAATACATGATCAGTGGGGATGGTATTTTTACCGAAAGTTGATCTACCCTCTTAAACGTAAACAATTACTCTGAACACCTTAGTTGATGTCCAAACATAGCTGTAACAAATTTTCAGGTCCCTGTGGACAGATGTACATCGCCATCTATAGAACTGGTAAAGCAATCTATCGCGGCGGAACTAGTGTTATTTTCATCCTGTGCTGAGACCAGGTAAGTGACTTTAATATTAAAGGTCATTGTCGTCAGTATGTTTGATATTTTCTTCTCAATCTCCGTCCCTCTGTAAAGACGTGATGATTTGTTGAAATATTAATGTTCAGCTGAAATTTATATGTAATACAATAAGTATTATGATATAAATTCATCGCGTTATTTATCAACGCAAAACGTATGAACGCTTGAATAAGAAATACTCCACAGAGACCAGAACTACTCCACAGAGACCAGAAATACTCCACAGAGACCAGAAATATTCCAGAGACCAGAAATGCTCCACAGAGACCAGAACTACTCCACAGAGACCAGAAATACTCCACAGAGACCAGAAATACTCCACAGAGACCAGAACTACTTTAACGCTTTTTGTTCTTATTTTTTCAACAAATAATAATCATATTTATTCAGGTAAATTGCAGATATTACACGTATATCACATTTTCCAATTTGGACATAAATATATATTTAGCACAGATGCTATTTAAGTCATTTATGCCATAGAACTAGTAATCAGCCAGGTGTTAAAACTGGACTGGATTCTAGACACTGAATGGTAAAATATCTTGCCTAGACTTGTCTATCTATCTGTTTGTCTGTCTGTTCGCATTACCAAAGGTATATGTACACGTATAATACAATATGTATATTTGATAATATATATGGAGAGATCCATGTGGGTAAGTGAACAATCCACGTGTGTCACACATACAATATAACATAAACATTGAATTGTAAATACATGTTCATGTATGGTCAGTGTATACAGTTGTACATGTGTGTAATACGTATCACTGTCTACATATTTTTTTAAAACTATATTTAACAATAAATCAATTGTGTCTTATTAGCTAGTCTGTCTGTCTGTCTGTCTATCTGTCTTGTTTAAAACTGTTGATAATCCAAAGCCCGTTTGTGTTACATGTACATATGTTGTTTTAGTGTACTATCATCGTAAGATTACACATGTATCACAATATTTTGTTGATATGAGGTCACAACCAACCATCACACCATTCCTTCAGTTCCATGTATGCTTCATAAACGTTAGTTGTTTAATTGTATAAATATGAAATGTGGAATTTTTTGTACAGATGTTTGTATACACATACCAAACAGATGCAGTGTCTTGTATGTTTAACAGACGAAATATGGATGTTTTGATACCATTCGGAACACCTCGCCCCGATTCCAGTTCCTTCCAACGTAGATGACCGTATCGGCCGAGAAGTTCCGAGTGGTTTTGATACAGGAAACCTATTTACATGAGAAAACAAGTATACAGACTAGCAAAATTGTATATAGCATGAACATAGAATGCATCAATACATTCTATTAGTTTTTGAAATATCTCTCTTCAGACTTTATTTATCGTTTTGTTATCCTAAACGTGAAATTTTCTTTAACCCATATAACTATTTTTATAATATTCATTGTGTATATATACGTAAATATCGAATTGTTCTTCTCATATTGGAGGATCAGTCATTTGTAATGCTCAAAAACGTCTTGTTTCTTTTGATACGTTCAAGTACATGGACGTGTTTATTTTTTTTCCTACTTTTTTCCATTTTTGTATATTTTTTCATATGTTAGTTGTATATAGCATACCCAGTGTACCCCATATCAGTTTCAAAAAGTTGTATACGAGTCCCTTTGCCTTACTCTCTGCATTTACCACTACTGGTTTTAATTTCAAAATCGCAAAATGCTATTGATTTAGTGTTGTACAGAGTGGCAATAGGGACATACTACCTAAAAATGCATGGCGGTTTAATATCATATGTATGTAAATGCACACTTTTTGATATATTATTTTTTGTCTTTCTGTTGCTTGGTAATCGAAAACTTCTTGCACTTATTCGGCAAGCAATGATAATTATCCGCCGTAACCAGAAATGTCTTCTGGAAAACCCCTACTATACTGTTATATTGATATTACTCTTAAGCAATGATATTGAAACAAATCCCGGGCCCGAATTAGGACAGAAAGAGTTGTCTTTCTTCCATCTAAATGTAAGAAGTATTCTGATATCGAAGATAATGTACCAAACTCTGATCTTTTGATTGAAAGTTCCTCAGAGCCACTCCGAATAGATAGAAACTGTTTTGGTGGTGGTGTAATGATCTACATAGCCGAAGATGTTCATTTTAAACGTCGACACGATTTAGAATTTAACGGCGGTGAAATCATATGGATTGAACTGAATTATACTTGTAGCTCATAACTTATCTGTACTGTGTACCGTCCTGAAGGTTCCAATATACCTTTTTGGGACAAATTCCAGACCTCCATGGAGACGGCTTTTAACTATAGTACCAATATCATCATACTTGGCGATATTAATATTGATCTGTTTACAGTTCCAAACCATAGACTTAATGATATTATTATTCTTTTTAACTTAACCAATGTAATATATGAGCCTACCAGGGTTACTTCGAATACACAGACTCTGATTGATCCTATATTTGTAAGCGATACTGTTCATGTTCTAGAATCTTCTGTTACACCTGTTGAAAATAGAATAAGTGACCACTCTGCCACACATGTTGCTATTAAATTACCAGGTAAAAGTACGAATACATACAAGCGTGATGTATGGATTTATAAAGATGCTGATTATGATAAGTTTAATAATCTGATTAGGAATTTTTCGTGGTGGGAACATTTTGAAAATTGTAATAAAGATAAAGGTTGTGATATTTTTACTTCATCATTTCTCGAGTTTGCTAATCTATGCATACGAAAAAAACAAATAACTGTTAGGAAGAATGATAAACCCTGGTTTGATTCAGAATTACGGAGGGAAATCAGAAAAAGGGATAGGTTACACAAACAAGCACGTAGATTTAATCGTCCATGCGACGAACTGAAATTCAGGCAACAGAGAAACAAAGTAAACAATATGAAGAAGTATGCTAAAACATCGTTTTTTGAAAATATTAACGGAATTATTGATAACTTTGCCTTGAATGATTCTAAACAATATTGGAAACTTATGCATCGACTTATTGGTAAAACAGCTAAATCAGAATCAATTCCCTCATTATATGACAGTGATACAGGTGAGTTTGTGTTTGCTGATAAAGAAAAAACAGATTTACTCAATAAGTTTTTTTGTTCCATTGCTAATAATATTGATGAACCCACTATCATCCCAGAATTTCCTTCAAGATGCCCTAGTTCAATTGAAAATATTATTTTCTCTGTAACTGAAATAAAGGATATTCTTTTAACTTTGAAGCTAAACAAAGCTACCGGAAAAGATCAAATTAGTCATGCAATGTTACAAAATACTGCAGAAAGTGTTTGTATACCTCTCCAATTGCTTTTTAATTTATCTCTAAGTCAATGTAAGTTTCCAAGTCAGTGTAAAACAGCTATAGTCATATCTTTATTTTAAAAAGGTGAGCGTTTTCTTTCTTCTAATTACAGACCTATTTCTCTTCTTAGTACTGTCAGTAAAGTGCTTGAACGAGTAATCTACAAACATTTATTTAATTTTGTCATCGATAACAACCTCCTGTATAAACACCAGTCAGACTTTGTTCCAGGTCATTCTACTGTTACACAATTACTAGAGATTTATTATAATATTCGTTTATCATTAGAAAATAAGCGCCAAACATGTATGGTATTTTTTGACATTTCAAAAGCTTTCGATAGAGTTTGGCATGATGGCTTAATGAAACAAATTAAAGCATATGGTCTTAGAAACAATATTTATAATTGGTTGAGAGATTATTTAAGTGGTAGAAATCAAATGGTATGTTTACGTGAAGCTTTTTCTTACACAGGATATGTAAATGCTGGTGTACCACAAGGTTCTGTTTTAGGACCATTTCTATTTTTGTTATATACTAATGATATTTGTGAAAATGTAGTTTCATTGTCAAGAATGTTTGCTGACGACACTTCACTCGCATATTCTTCAAATAATAGTGCAGAAATTGAATATTACATGAACCATGATTTAGCAGTTATTGATCACTGGTCGAAGAAATGGAATGTAAATTTTAATCCTAATAAAACAGACGTAGTTGTTTTTACTGGTTCTTTAGAAAGACTTGATGTTCAGTTGACTTTTAATAACACAACATTGACAAAAAGTGTTACACACAAACACTTAGGGGTAACTTTAAAAGAAAATGGCAAGTAGGAAACACATATCTTGCATATTGTCAGATCAGCCTCTAAACATTTGTCTGTTTTACGAAAATTGAAATTTACTGTGAATAAAGAAATTTTATCAAAAAATTACACATTGATTCATCAGACCTATTTCAGAATATGCGAGTGAAGTGTGGGATCGTTGTAACAATGCAGATTCTGATAAAATAGAAAAAGTCCAACTGGAAGCAGCCAGAATAGTTACAGGTGTGCCTTTATTTGCTAGTAGACAGTCTTTGTATAGTGAAACTGGCTGGGAAAAACTTGAAGACAGACGGAATCAAAAAAAAAGTTATTATTATAAAAAATGTACCATAATTTAGTTCCTTCTTACCTAAACGACGTCGTACCCAATAAAGTAAATGATATTAGCAGATATAATTTAAGAAATGGTCAAGATGATGTATCACCCAAGTGTCGACTAGTTTTGTATGAAAAATCGTTTATCCCCAGTACCCTGAGAATGTGGAATTCATTAGATATCTCAACTAGAACTCTAGAAACAGTGGCAAAATTTAAACATAGCATTTTTAGAAAAAACAAACCTGTAACTAAACTGTCTGTAGGTAACAGAAAATTTAATATAATACTTACTAAACTCCGTCACGTCTGTAGCGCGTTGAATGCAGATATTTTCAAATGTAATTTAGTCTTATCACCAGCATGTAACTGTTCTTTCTCAAAAGAAAACCACTTTCATCATTTTTTTCAGTGTAATATATACAACCAGTGTCGGGATATACTTTTCAGACAATTGTCTAGATATGATATAGTCATTGATCTAGATGTACTGTTGAACGGTTCTATTAATCTGAACCAGACTGATAATGATAATATACGGTTGTTTGTACAAGAATATATCAAAAAACCGAATCGTTTTGCATAATCTGCTTCAGTATCAAATAATAAAGACAAACCATCATTATTAGTCAAATGAAATGTTAAGTAAAAAATTGCGGTTTACATGCAGAAACTGGTTCCAACATTCAGTTGTATCTATTCACTATGCTTTATTATACATGTACATACTTTAATTGTTAGGTATGACATTCATACTATATCTATGCCATTTTAAGTGAAATTCCTTGAACTAGTACTGATATAAGGGAAATGCATATTTCCATCTGTATACATTATTGTTAAGTTTTATAAATATGTATATATAATATTTATGAAATGCTGCCATGTATGTATGTTACCATTTTATAATAGTTTATGGAAGAGCACGTTTCTAAGTTGTTTAACTTGTGTCCAATTCCATTTGATTTTTTTCAAATAAAATATGTTTAAACTTAACTGGATTCGATTAATTTCGGCCTTTACCTGGGATGACCACTCAACCCACTTTGTGGCTTAATTACAATGGGGTCAATCGACACGGACTGACTTTACCTCCATGATGGAGAGTTCAAACGAATAGTGTGCAGTGAATACCTTTATGTTAACTGATAAACCGATGTTTAGATGTTAAGCGGCGGAATGGGTAAACATATTACCCGTCCCTCTGACTGCCTGCAAGTATCAGAGTACTATTTAGCTATGCATCTCGATATTGACTAAAATCCTACTTCACTGACTCGACACATTGTGGCTTATTGAGTTGTTTTCATCGACTTAAAGTCTTAAAGTCAAGACACCAGTCATTTGAACTGCTTGCTTGACAAAGGAAACAGACGTTTTCGAAAGCTTGCAAAATCAATTATGATATAAGTTCTGTTTGAGTTCAAAACAAACTTAACATATTTTGTTCACACCAAACAGACGGATATCATTCCAAATAATAATGTATCGTGTTTTCGATGTCTTCATTTGACGTTAGCTGTTGTGAGAAAGAGACACGCCAATACAAAAAATAGACATACTTTGTCGCTCCATTATATAATATTTGTGCTGTGACCACCTATTGATAAAAATCGTCAGGGTCTAAACTTTGACTCTCTTTTTTTGATATTCACTACGGAATCATCAGTGCTGTACATGTACGAGAGATAGGACAGTTTATCTAAACAACAACGATTCTGTGTCTTTGGTTTTGTTTGTGTTATACGTCCGTATAGTCACTTTAGGACGTGACGGGTTTTGGTGGCGGAGGGATACAGGAGCGCAACACAATGGAACTCAGCTTGTTATATATATTTCAATTATATTTTTCTCTTTTCAGCCACTATGAAACATGCATTTAAGCCAGATGCGGATTGGGTATACCTTTATATGTGCTATATCCCTGACAAGTGTCTGTCTGGGACTTCTGTATCAGATATTGATAACAAGACCAATTCTGAATGGTGATAAAAGTCACTTAATATTACCATCCACAAGCAGACCTAAATCAAACCGACCTGTGTTTTCCTATAGACGAACACGGGTAGACATCAACTGTAGTGCACTATTTGACGGGGTGGAATCGGAGCTGTTATTAGGCGACTCGCGGTGGAATATTACCAGTAAACAATACGTGTCTGATGACGTATACATAGAGGAAACTGTGGATTGTGATTCATTCATAGTGTCACGTGATTACATAACTAGTCCCTTAACAGAGGAAGAGGAACTTTTTTCTATAGCGTATTCACTTGTTGTTTACAAAGATGCAAACCAAGTTGAAAGATTACTACGCACGTTATATCGCCCACAGAACTATTACTGTATACACATGGACGTAAAGTCGTCACCTGTCTTCCGGCGGGCCATTTCCGGTGTAGCAAAGTGTTTTCCTAATGTATTTATATCATCACAGTCGGTTTCTGTCAAAAGAAAGTCATATACAGTACTTCAACCCGACTTAATATGCATGGAATATCTGTGGAAATATAGGAAATGGAAATATCTAATCAACGTCGCCGGTAACGAGTTCCCTCTTCGAACGAATCTGGAAATCGTCCAAATACTGAAGACTTTAAATGGATCTAATCACATTCAAGGAATAATAAAAGCGTAAGTAACAGGCTATTATGGCAGACATTCAATTTCATATGTCAACATTTCATCAAATGTTATCGTAATTGTAAGTTTCGTTCAAACTTAAATATGCCCCACGTGAGGGTGGGTGTTTCTTACGAATGACGAACGAGATAACGGACGCTTACCTTAAGTTATCATGTATGACAACACCCGGATATCACTTACCTTAAGTTAACATGTATGACAACACACGGATATCACTTACCTTAAGTTATCATGTATGACAACACCCGGATATTAGTCTACCTTAAGTTATCATGTATGACAACACCCGGATATTACTCTACCTTAAGTTATCATGTATGACAACACCCGGATATTACTCTACCTTAAGTTATCATGTATGACAACACCCGGATATCACTTACCTTAAGCTATCATGTATGACAACACACGGATATCACTTACCTTAAGTTATCATGTATGACAACACCCGGATATTAGTCTACCTTAAGTTATCATGTATGACAACACCCGGATATCACTTACCTTAAGTTATCATGTATGACAACACCCGGATATCATTGACAAAGGCAGGCGGATTTGATACATTAACATACAGACGATACATGTAGAAACAAAACAGGTATGCGCAAACACTATTGTCCACCTCGAAACAGCGCAAATAATAGCACACACCATTGGAGAAATGATAACCTTAAATCCTACTTTCTATATAGAGTGGATTAACCCAATTTAATAGGGAAAGCAAATTAAAGCTATAAAAATTAAAAATGTGAAGACAACGAATTGCGATTATAAAATGATATATATGAAAATCACATTATATTGGCCATTAAAGGGATTGTATTACTCACTTTCTTGGCTATTAATTGTTTGTGAACAGCAGCGTTTACCAGCTGTCGACAACAGTGGGTCGATAGTATATTTGTGAATTAATATTTTCTGTCTCAGTGATATTTGTAAAAATCAGAATTTTACAAGACAGTAAGTCTGGAATGTTGTAATATTTTGAGCGGAACTTTTGACATGCATTTTACGTTTTGAAAACTGTTTCTATTATATCTAGGGCAAACACAAACAGATGGACGGGAGTTGGGGCGGCCCCTCACAACATCCGTCCAGTAAAGGGATCTATGCACATAGTAGCATCGCGAGGATTCGTGGACTACATCCTACATGACCCGGTAGCTCACGATTTCATGAATTGGACACGACACACGGACTACCCTGAGGAAACGTTCTTCCCTTCTCTGAACTACAACCCCCATCTGAATGTCCCTGGTGGTTTTAAAGGTAAGCTAAACCTTGGCTTACATGGTATTGCCCTTTACTTTCTCACACATACTGTGCGTGGGGAAACAGAATTGTTGTATTTATTGCTACTTTCGTTTCTTTTGTAATGGCTACGTTTCAATTTTACTATTGTCTAATGACGCCAATGTTTTCAATGTATTATCGAGATTCGTATTAAAAGCTTTGTATAACTTATAAAAAGTAATAAACATATCCGTTCCCACCCATGTTTCAGTCGGTTATTATTAATAATTTTCGTCGTTATAGTTTAAACAATACACTGTTTATCGTAAGGACAAATACGTGTGTGTCTTCTCTGACCACCGGTTCCGTTTTCGATAAGTAAACGTATATATTCTGCACCCTAGGAATATGCAATGACACTATCGAAAGCTCGCGTTGAGCTGTTACATTGGTTTCTAGTATAAAGTACTGACCATTCATCGCTAGACTGATAGGTATCATTTGGAAGTTACAGAGACGCTACACCCATCTTGACTGTCTGTTTATTTAACGTTGCGATTCATGTGTTTATTTAAAGTTACGATTCCCGTGTTCAGAAATCAAGACATCATTCTAGTCGACTTGTATCAAGGTGTCCTGACGTATTCCAAGAGTGTAGAAAAGATAAAATGAATCGAGAGCCATTTTCAAAGATACCTTTCCTGTAGAGTTACATTCCGGGTATCCTCAATGAATCATAAGACGCTTATCCTCCCGGAACACCAGGTCTGATATTCCTTAGGGTTTTTCAATGGTCTCTGTGTTGGTCTGTTGTGTATGGCTTGCCCTTGTTTCATTGGTCTCTGTGTTGGTCTGTTGTTTATAGCTTGTCCTTGTTTCAATGGTCTCTGTGTTGGTCTGTTGGGTATGGCTTGCCCTTGTTTCATTGGTCTCTGTGTTGGTCTGTTGTTTATAGTTGCCCTTGTTTCAATGGTCTCTGTGTTGTCTGTAGTTTATAGCTTGTCCTTGTTTCAATGGTCTCTGTGTTGGTCTGTTGTTTATAGCTTGCCCTTGTTTCAATGGTGTCTGTGTTGTCTGTAGTTTATAGCTTGCCCTTGTTTCAATGGTGTCTGTGTTGGTCTGTTGTTGATAGCTTGCCCTTGTTTCATTGGTGTCTGTGTTGTCTGTTGTTTATAGCTTGCCCTTGTTTCAATGGTGTCTGTGTTGTCTGTAGTTTATAGCTTGCCCTTGGTTCAATGGTCTCTGTGTTGGTCTGTTGTTTATAGCTTGCCCTTGTTTCAATGGTCTCTGTGTTGTCTGTAGTTTATAGCTTGCCCTTGTTTCAATGGTCTCTGTGTTGGTCTGTTGTTTATAGCTTGCCCTTGTTTCAATGGTNCTCTGTGTTGGTCTGTTGTTTATAGTTGCCCTTGTTTCAATGGTCTCTGTGTTGGTCTGTTGTTTATAGCTTGTCCTTGTTTCATAGATTTGGAACTGGGATAACGATGTTGTTTCCAATGTGGTATTTTTCTTGCTTTTTTATGTACAAATTTGTCAATGGGTATTGAAATGATAGTAGTAAAACACACAAATCTATGTTATAATGCTGTAAAGCTACTTATGGTATTCCATTTATATATATATATACTGTTTGTTTGTATGGAGTGCATCTGAATATTTTCGCAGCATGTTATTTTTACGATTTTCGTGGTTGATTAAATCCTCGAATTCATGAACGAGTCGCCGTGAATTTTACTTCCTACTCTTCTGCGCTTGTAGTGGATTTATGACTCTAGTTTAAAACAAACACCAAACTGTGAAAGTTGATATCGAGGAAATAGTTCGATAATAGAAACTCCCAAAGATAACAAAAACATTTCATGTTTCACAGTATATCAGGGATTATTTAGTGTAGTGTAAACTTTATTTTTATTTCTTTGATTAATTTGACAATGAAGGAGGTTTCAGAAACAAGTTTTGAACACTTTATAAATCTGTTCCTGAAGGTACATGGACAACAAGGAAGTTTGATTGATGAAACGATTTTAGTTAAAACCCTCCACATAATTGTACATAATAATCTCAATACAGAGTATCTAACGCTTAGTGGGAAATGATAGTTCCTTATCAAATGATAATGATATTTCCTTATCATATGATATTTCCTTATCAACGCCAAAATAGCATAACGTGGAATGCTGATTTCTTGTCAGATCAAGTAGTAAAGTGAGTTTCAGACTTCCTGTCAGATAAATAACCCTATATATATCATTTCGGTGCAAAGTAATGAAATTATTCACATCTCAATGACAATGTTCCTCTTCGACTTGAGCACTTTCAGAATGTACTTCCATTTGGTATTGAAACTGCTATTGGTTGTCTGTGTATTTCCAGCATCGTGCCTTATAGTTACTTGGAAACTAGTAATATTATTTGATATACAGAATGTAATACACTATATAGACATAATTGAATTCTATTTCAGGGAATCTAGAAGAGAATGAACAACACCTGAGATTTTTCGGACGTTTTGTAAACTGGGTTAACTGGATTCACAATACCGATAAATACAAGGCGGACTATGCTTGTTATGGTAAGATCGTACACGGTATATGTATATTCGGAGTACGAGACCTTCCCTTAATCATCACTCGTCCGGAACTGTTCGTCAACAAATTCTACAGATACTATCAGCCCTATGTGATGGACTGTTTGGAGGAACTCTTGTTTAACCGATCAAGAGAGGACTATTTTGATAAACGGACGGTTAACACAGATGTGTATGCCAAACAGTACGGATGGACAGGGCAATAATAATTCACACGAAGTCACATATCCAAGTCTTACTTTCTTTCTTTTTATTGGTTATTTCCTCAACAGGATACAACTGTCTTTTTCTTTCATACTAGACCCGAGATATCCCTCGGGATAAAATATTGAGCAAAAGACCCTCGGCAAAGCCCCGAGTCTCCTGTTCAATCCTTGTCTCACCCTAGGGTTGAGACGAGGGGATTCCCCTATTTATAACAATGGTATGACGTCACTTCAACAATATAATCACGTCACGTCATGTGTCCTGGAATATGTTTTAAAATCAAGAAGGTTTTAACTGGTTACTATACATATGTGTTTACATTTGCTCTGAATTGACATTGTATCACCTTACCAAACAAAATCGAAAGATATCAGATCACAATTCTCACATAATTCCCATTGGTGTAGTGAAATGAACAACATGTTCGTGACGTCATGACTAAATGACGTCGTTCAATTAAGCGTATCACGAAGAAATTGTCGCAATACGCATTCCTCGTGGTAACTCATCCTTCCAGAGAAATTTCAGGCAATATGTTTTGTCAAAAAGAATAGTAACACTATCAAATCTTTTAATATTGAAAGCCTTGAGATTATTTGTGAAGGAAGTGTGAAACTTTCAGGTGTGGATATTGACTTTCTTCTTAAATTTGATGTACATATATCTCGCCTTTGCAGAAATGCTGCTAAACAACTTGCTGTTTTAAAAAGACTGGGAAACAATCTTACAAAGAAAGGAAATATTACAATTTTGAAGTCTTTTATTCTATCAAATTTTAACTATTGTCCACTTTCCTGGCACTTTTGACAAATACTCGAAAAATGGAAAAAGTTCAGGAACGAGCACTTCGTTTTATTGAAAATGATTATGTTTCCCCAGTCATTGATATTCTTAGAAAACGCAAACTTGATTTTTTACATGTAAAACGTATGAAAGATATGGCCTCTGAGGTTTTTAAAATTTTAAGAAAGTATCTTAGCGAATGCTTTCTCTGCCTATAAGTTGGCGAACCACAAAATGGCGTCACTACGGTATGAATGAAAATGCTAGGAGTCGCTGCCAAAGACATTTGCATATGAATGAAATGTGAATGAATGAAATCCATATAAGGAGATATCAGCTACCATATAAGGACAGAAAGTCCATATATAGTCATAGATGGCGTGGGTGTAGAATATGTAGTTCCACGTTAAGCAACTTTCGTAGTATAAGCGATCCCCTAGACACTTGCGTTACCGAACTCATGTGTCAAAAATGGTAATCATTGTGTATGCTATTTCTCAATTTATGTAAAATTTATTGTGGAGAGGGCCTTTGTAATGTTCATATAACTTATGCAATATAATATGTTTAAATCAAATGTGCCACACATAAGTTAATCCACATTCGTCAAGAACATTCTTTACAAACATAATCCACGAAGCGTCACGTTTGGTTTATCAGTATTAAACATATAACTAACTATTTTCACTTAGTGAATATTGACTTAAACTTTTATCGTCGTGTGTTTGTTTTGTTTGGAGTTTAACGCGTCCTTGCACCAGCCATGGTCTTGGGGACGGAGTGGCTTTAGGGAGACACCACCGGAAAGGGGAAGTAGAAAGAAAGAATTAATGTGAAAGTAGACAGGAAACGAAAAAGATCACAAGTGTTCCAATGGGACAACAGATCAATTTGGGTCTCTTACATGTCCTCTTTGAGGAGGAAGAAAATGGCCCTTCGGTGTATCTGTACATAGATATACGTAGTTGTGTTTGTAGACTGTTGCGGCTGATTCTATTATCATGGACGTCGACGCTCCCTATGTATACGCTCACTAGGCTTACAGCCACACCTTTGACTGCTTACAATAAACATATTGACTTTCATGTAGAAGGTGCCATGTTTTGTGCTGTTTTGACTGAAAGGTCACTAAGCAACATCCAATACTCTATTTTGTTAGGATCAAAACATGTGAAAATATTACCAATATGATGATTTCATACCTGGCCAAATCTAACAGTGCTTTGCATCGCACTTGTGAAAAATATTTTGCACACGACCCTAACAGTGACGCACCGGTATAATTGGCTAGATGTGACTCCGGAAGTCTTATTAGTTTCACATATTTTATATCG